AGCCTGCGATGCGATGATGGTCTGCATGCTGCTAGGTAGTCTGCTGGTCCAGATGGTGCGGATAAAGTCTTCGGGCACATTTGGGCCCGCCAAGTGTTGTAGATGCCGCAGAAATTGGGAAGGCTTTCTATCGCCTAGCTGTTCGTGGTCCAACAGCTGTTTTACCTTGCGCTCTTTTGATGCTGACAGGCGTTTTATCAGTTCGCTCTTCAATTTATTGTATTTGTCAGTTTGTGGAGGTGACTCAATGACATCTTCAATCTCTATAGCGTATTGGTGATCAAGCATGCCAATAGCGTGATAAAACTTCGTGGTGTCGCTGGTTATGTTAGATAAAATAAACTGACCTTCCAGCATCGAGAACCATAGCGATGGCTTGTCCGGATAGAATGGAATGTTCCTTACACCAACGCGATGAACATCACTTGTATCGCTTTGACTGGAATGCTGCCCTTTCGACGCGCCGCCATTACGTTCTTCCATCGTTGCAATTTTGTGTTAATAATACGGGGTCACCAGTTTAGCGGCCGAGTGTACCGCTAATTTATTTGTATAGAAGGAGTGCGAGGAAGAAATAATAACGCAAAGTTACGAGTGATAGTCGCGTCAGCCGGTAGGTATAGTGAGCGAGCGAGCGGCGTGCGCTCCGCGTCGTGCATAGGTTCGGACTAGTTTGAGGTGCGGCGGCGCACGCTCGGCCACGATCGCCGAACGCTCGGCTCGAACAACAGGCGGGCGCGGTGACGTAGTGAGCGGCACTCGCAGGCGGCGAGTACACTGTGCCGCGCCGCGATAGCTACTTCGCGCGATAGATGCGCGAAGCTATAATTCGACTTGTTGGCTACTACGCGTGTGTAAATATTTGTAGGATATGAAATGTTATTTATGTATGTGTATTTAAATGTAAATAATAAATGTAAATGTGTTAATGTGTAAATAAGTGTAAATATGTTTTGTATGTAAATATTAATTACTTATATTTAATTTTATTATTTAAGGTTTTAGTTTAAGTTAATTATTTTTATTGTTGTTGACATTTACATAAATATAATGAGTATAGCCTACACCTTTATAAGATCGGCGGTCCACCTTTCTGGTACGCGGCCTCCACTCCAGAACCCTGCTGCCCCATCAGTCGTCAGTTCTGCGTACTATGTGCCCTGGCCATTGCAACTTCAGCTTGCTAATCCGTCGGGCTATGTGAGTACTCACCGGCATCAAATCCACCAGCTATAGGCGTACCAATCTCGCGGTATACTGGCCGAATCGTGGGTGGTGTGCGCGAAACTGTATTTCACCGTGCACACTCATCTTGACTCCTCAAAAATTCTTATTATCATCAAGTCATTTAGTCTCCACTGCAAGAGGACGTCCCCTCTAATGTACTAGAGGCAAATAGTTTGATTTACACTCCCCACGCTGACTGAAAATAAGAAGAAGTGTGTTTGAGAAGAGTTTGTCTTCCTGCCCAGCATTAAAACCAATATTACCCTCTAGAATATGTCCTGTTTTTGACGAGGAGGAAATGCACTATGCACAAATGTATATCCACTAAAACCTCCGCGGCGTTCCGTTATCGCCCGAGTGGTGGTGTTGTGAGTATCTGGCCGTATGGACTTCCGCGACCTCTAGACTTGTCTTGAACCAACAATAAATCTCCCTCCCTTCATGATTTAGGGTTATAATAGAATCCTTTTCTCACCTCCAGCGTACCGTATGTCTAGGGAAGAGTGGTATCACCTAACACAAGCGTACACCTTATGCCTAAAAGGTGATTCCATTGTCAAAGATTTTGTAAAAACTCTTTGTTCATTAAGTAACAGTGTTGTATTCTTCGCCTACCAGTAAGGAAGTCGGTGTGTTTTTTTTTAGTGATAACTTTGTTACTTGTACTGCAACCGGAGTAGTATTGCTGTGTTATAGCAGTGCCTCTTGCCCTCCGAGTATCTACGGAAGACCAGCGTCGTGGTGTCCCTTACGACACCTCGACATGATGCTGAGTGGATACCGTTTCGGTGACACGCACATTACATACTCTCTTTACTTTTGTTAAATATTTTTGATGTTGTTTTGTGTCGCTGAATAAAATATTTCATTTTCATTTTTAAAAGGTTTGTATTGAAATAAAAAAATATTATTATTACCTCCAGCGTACCGCTGCGCGTGCGCGCCCGGCTACCGGCTGGTGGACGGCGGGCGCTGTGCGGCGGAGGGCGCGGGCGGCGCGGGCGCGGGCGCGTGGCTGGCGCTGGCGCACGGAGCCGGCGTGGTGCGCATGGAGCTTCATGGACGAGCGCCCGCGCCGCTGGCGAATGCCTCAGCTGCTGCCGGCCTCGACTTCCATTACAAGAAGAACCTGCTGTTCTGGTCCGATTTGAAGACGAGGAAGGTTGGTTGAGTAGTCATTATCTCTAATCTCCTATCATTTCAATCATCATTTAGTCTCTACTGCACAAGTCTGATTTATCAGAGAAAAGTTGAAGATTGGGGCTAAATATTCTCAGGGCCGGATTTAAGGGAGAGCAACTGAGGCTACAGCCCCGGGGCCACCACAAAAGAGGAGCATCCACAATAGAGACTTCCAGAGGGCCTCCACTCCTTTGTTGCCCCGAGACCTCTCGACCTCTGAATCCGGCATTGAACATTCTCCACACTAACCAGGCGACTTGAAGAGTCATCGTTTGCAAAATTCTCTTCGGGAAGAATTCTAGTAGTCCTAAAATAATGAACACAGATGGCAAGAAATAAACTCCGTTGTTCTTACCACCTAAAATGTAAATCACAGAACTTATTTTTAAAAGCCAACATAACTTTTAATTGTATCATTAAACTTACAGCTGTTTCGGATCAGCACTGACTAGAATCACTCAAGAAACTCTTTATGGCATTTAAAATAAACTATCAGAGCTCAAAGTCATAACCATTACTTCCAGATCCACTCGCAACAACTGAGCGCGCCAGCAGGACTCAACAGCTATGCAGGCGCCGCCATAACCGTAGCAGGCTCGTGGGCGCCGACCGCGCTCGCCGTGGACTGGGTGGGCGACAAGCTGTACGTGGCCGACGCCGTGGGGCAGAAGATCGACGTCTTCGAGCTGGACGGACGATGGCACGCTGTGGTGCTGGGGTCTAATCTGACAAGTCCTGCTGATATTGCGCTGGACCCCACTGTGGGGTTCATGTTCGTGGCTGATAGTAGTCAGGTACGCATTTTTTTCTTCATCCACTTTTTTCATCCAGTCTGTGATCTGAAACGAGAATGTTTATTGTTTTCAGCAGGGATCTTATGGATATCCGTAACCGTAACCAAAACTTTCGGATATCCGAAATAAAAAAATATCCGAAACCGTAACCGTAACCGATTCAAAAGTTTCAGATGTACCTAGGCAGTTTAAATTGTTTTTTGTATAGCATTATATGTAAAGGCATGACAGCCTGATTTACCTTTATAATGCCATCTAGTATCAATTTTTATTTTTTTATTACTTTTTATTCCATGTAAAGTGTGCGGCCATGAATGAACCATGTTAAACAACTATTGCAAATTGCATTCTAAAGCACAGATATCCGTGACCGTAACCGAAACTTTCGGATATCCGAAATAAAATAATATCCGTAACCGTAACCGAAACCGGTATAATATTATTCCTATATCCGTAACCGTATCCATAACCGAAACTACATATCCATTATCCATAACATCCCTAGTTATCAGTTTTCTTTCAATATTCGTGTTTTCTTTGCAGATTATCCGAGCCAACATGGACGGCACGCACGCTAAATCGATTGTATCCGAAGCTGCTTACAAAGCCTCCGGTATCGCCGTAGACATTATTGCGAAACGCGTGTTCTGGTGCGACTCCCTGCTCGACTACATCGAAACAGTGGACTATGATGGCAACCACAGGTTCCTGGTACTCAGGGGACAGCAGGTCCCCAGTCCCTCCAGATTAGCGTTATTCGAGGACCGAGTCTACTGGTCCGACAGCACCAAACAAGGCATCAGCTCCGTCAACAAGTACGAAGGTGCCTCCAGCATCCAGGCCATATACAAGCAGAAGGACATCCGAGACCCCAAAGCTATAACTGTGATACATTCTTTAAAACAAACCTCAGTAAACAACCCTTGCGGGAACAACAATGGCGGCTGCTCCCAAATGTGTATAGTGACCGCGCTGCCCAACGGTGGGCTCGGCTACCGATGCGCCTGCAACATTGGCTACAGATTAGGATCAGACTTAAGAAACTGTGATCTCGTCAAAGAGTTCCTAATGTATTCCCAGCAGAGGTTCATCAAAGGAAAGGTCTTGAATCCCGTGATAGAAGGATTCAGTGAAGCTATTTTGCCAGTCGTGTCTAGAAGGGCGCGATTTGTAGGTCTAGATTTTGACTCAAGGGACGAACATATTTACTATTCGGATGTCTTACAGGACGTCATATACAGGGTACACAGAAACGGGACGACGAGAGAGATCGTTCTCGCATCCCAGAACGAGGGCGTGGAAGGTTTAGCTGTCGATTGGGCATCCAAAAACTTGTACTACATCGATTCTAGGAAAGGAACACTTAACGTTCTATCGACACGAAACGTGGCTTACAAAAGGACTCTCCTGAAAGACTTGAAAAGACCGCGAGCTATCGTCGTTCATCCAAACAAAGGTTACATTTTCTTCTCCGAATGGGACCGCCCGGCGAACATCAGCCGAGCGAACACGGACGGAACCGGTCTTCTGGTCTTCGAGAACGTCACTCTTGGATGGCCCAACGGTCTATCGATAGACTTCGAGGAGGACAGGATTTACTGGTGCGACGCTTTACTAGATCACGTTCAGCACGCCAAAATGGACGGAACAGACGTGAAGACCGTGAACTCCAGGTTAATCAGGCATCCGTTCTCGATCGTCATCCACAAGGAGTTCATGTACATCACCGATTGGAGACTGGACGCGATAGTCCGCCTGCACAAGCTCACAGGCGAGCAGGAGGACATAATGGTCCGCGAGCCGCAAACGAACCGGTTGTACGGCGTCAAAGTTTACAGCGAGGATATCCAGAAGATCGATCCCATGCAGCCGTGCGCGAGAAACAATGGCAACTGCCAGAAGCTCTGTTTTGCCATACCGAGGAATAACACGGAGCTGTTGACTGTCAAGTGCGGGTGTCCCTATGGAGAGAAGCTGGCGAACGACGGCACCACATGTGTTGCAGACCCGAACTCGGAACCACCGGTACAAGCCTGCCCTAACTCCTGGGACTTCACGTGCAACAACCAGCGCTGCATCCCCAAGAGCTGGGTGTGCGACGGAGACGACGACTGCCTGGACAACAGTGACGAGGAGTTCGCCAACTGCACGAGTATGTTTGTTTCTTATATCTCTGATTTAACTGACTGTTATGGTAAAGAGCAGTCAGTTAATTAACCGACTGCTTTTTACCATTATTCTAAACAACGGGATGGGCAATCACCAGACAGGTCTACTACAGACTAGTATAAAAGGCTGTTGGTTCGTTTTAGCCAAATGTAATGTTTATGTTTGTAATGTTTATAAATAATATTAATTTCTGGATAATGGCCTTCCCCAAGGATTTCCACAACGACTAGTCTTGCGCTATCCGCATCTAGATACTTCTCGCGATCTTCACCAGATCGTCGGTCTACCTAGTGACCTAGTGGAAGGCATGCCCACACTACGACTGCAGGCCACTCCAGAACTTTTCAGCCCCAACAGCCATTAACTCTATTAGCAATGTGCCCCGCCCACTGCCACTTAAGGGTTGAGAATAGACTTTTATTATACCTATTTAATATATTAATAGGCCGTTTACCCTTCAATTCCCAGAATCAACATGCGGCCCTTCGGACTTCATGTGCAAATCCGGTCGCTGCATCCCGGCGACATTCAAGTGCGACAGCGAGAACGACTGCGGCGACTACTCGGACGAGGCGGGCTGCGTCAACGTGACGTGCAGCTCGTCGCAGTTCCAGTGCGACAACGGCCGCTGCGTGCCCAGTACTTGGAAGTGCGACTCCGAGAATGACTGCGGCGATGGATCTGATGAGGGCAGCCACTGCGCGGAGAAGACCTGCGCTTACTTCCAGGTCAGTGAAGCACTCATTCATTTTAAAGAGTTAAACATGTGTTTCATGTGTGGTAACCGTACTTTTTATTGTACCCCTACGTCAGAAAAAAAGTATTGTTTAAGTATCAAACCGCCTAAGTGACGAGCCTAAATGGTTATTTTGTTTTTGTTACGTTTTAATTTTAAAGATACCATTATCTTTTCTGTTAACATCAAATTGAAATCAAATTGCAATTTTTGTTGAATGGCCGATGCGCAAGACGATGGGTCTTTTGATGTGCTCTCTGCGTGCACATCATAATAGCTGAGCATGTGCTTTAAAATTCACAAGTGCGTCTTCGTTCACTTGATAGACTTCGTTAGCTCGCAGTGTACTATCGCCAACAGTATTAACTGCCCATTGAAAGTCATGTCATCTCGTTCTATCGCAAAGAATCGCCATTAGAGCGAGAGCAAAAACTGAAATGGATAGTTAACAGAGTGGGCGTGTGTACAACGATCTCGCCCCCGCCAAAGAAACGCTCGTCTGAAGGCGCCCCTTATGTTGTAATTGTTTTTTTGTTGTAATTGTTTCAACTAACTTCCATTTGTACATACCATGATTGCGTCGTGTGGCATATAATTGTGACGTGTCCATCCGTGTCTAGTTTACGTGTCCTCGCACGGGGCACTGCATCCCGGCGTCATGGGTGTGCGACGGCGACGACGACTGCTTCGACAAGCAGGACGAGGCCGACTGCCCGCCCGTGTCCTGCCTCGCCAGCCAGTTCAAGTGCGCCGACCTCAAGCAGTGCGTGCAGGTCAGTACGGATAGTAGTATCTTCTTTCCAAAACGTAAATGTTGTCTTGTTTATATCGTTATTTTCTTAGAGCCACAGCACACACATGTTACTTTTAGTATCGGCGATCGGCAATTTAGTAAATTTTTAAATATGAGGGTTTTCGTGAATGAAATATCAGCTAGATGGCGGGACGTGGATGTGGGGTCTGACTGCTGCGTGATTGGTGGATTTTGACATATCTGTCAATGTCATGTCAAAAATAACCAATCATGCAGCATTTGGACCTCGCGTCTACGTATTGCCATCTGGCGGATTTTTCATTCGCGAAAACCCTCATTGAATGCAGCAACCACACATTCCACAACGCACACTTAAAAATATTAATCGCTGCGATTGAGTCGCTTTTCAGAAGTTCGACGCACCGATAGCAGTCGCTAAAACGCCTGATTCTCGATATCGCATCCGAACGCAAGTTACGAAATCGCAATGCTGCATCGATTGTCGATAAAACGAGCGATTCCGTTACCCCGTCCGAATGCATAAAAATGCTGCATCGATATAGTCGTACTCGTAAAATCACCGATCGCCGATGCTAAAAGTACCATGTCTGTTGTGGCCCCTGCCCTTTTTTGGTAAAAGTCTGTAAATTGTAAAAATGAACCTTATGTCATCGCAGGAAGCGTACAAATGCGACGGCATCCCGGACTGCAACGACGGCAGCGACGAGGCGGGCTGCCCGTCCCTGGCACCGCACCAGTGCCAGCCCGACAAGCAGTTCCAGTGCCGCTCGTCCGGCATCTGCATCCCCACCACCTGGTACTGCGACGGTGAGTCCCTGCTGCTGCTGTGTGTACTGCGACGGCTCCCTGGCCTGCCACGACGGCTCTGCTGCTACTCTTAGCTATGCATATGCTATGGCTAGCATACATTTAGAACGTGATCAGCAAGTAAACAAGTGAAGGTCGCGTCAGTTAAAAAGGCAGTTTCAACTGTCTTTTGATACTGGATGGCATATATACATAGTAATTTACTGGTTAAGGCCGAGCCGAGCGGAGAAGTGGATATAATGAAATCTGGTTGGTTATTCAAAACACGTCACCGCTCCGCTCCGGTTACAAGGGGGGGGGGGGGGTATCCCTCAGATTTACCACACCTTTTGTAGTCGACTATTAGCCGATTGACGTCAGACTTTTCAGTCAATTCTCTTTGATTTGACATAATTCTGCGACGGTCATTAATCATGAACCTTACCACCCAGGCACTCCGGACTGCGAGGACTTATCAGACGAGCCGACGATCTGCGGCACGGTGCAGTGCGCCGCCAACTACTTCCGCTGCGACAACGGCCGCTGCGTGTTCAAGGCCTACGTCTGCGACGGCAACGACGACTGCGGCGACGGCTCCGACGAGGGGCTCAAGCACGCCTGCAAGCCGCCGCCATTCAGGTAACAGGGCCTAAGAAGGTCTATCTTCTGAGCTTCGACTCCTCAAGGTTCTTCCATCGTATTGATTTATGCTAGTTGAATGATTCATTTTACTTGTTCACCGAATTTGCACTGCTTTCCATATCCTCGTCTGAATATTGCAACACCGGTTTTGTGCTAGCTTTCTTGTGCAAGACTGATAGAGCTGCAGCTGAGCAGTTGAAATCAGAGCCCCGTTTACGGTAATTTTTAACGTCTCCAATCCAGACACGCTTCTCGATTCTGCGATACGATTGGTTGTTCAACAGCGTACGTCAGCTGTTTTGACCAATCGTATCGCCAAAAGTTACCGTAATCGGGGCTCTGATTTCACAAAGTCATTGATTAAAAGCACAATGTGTATTGTTTCTTTCTTTGCAGATGTCCATCGGGTCAATGGCAATGTCCTGGAGTGACTGGCCGCTGTGTCAACCTCACGCAAGTGTGCGACAACAAGTTCGACTGCCCCAACGGTGCTGATGAAGGTACTTAATATTATAATGCTCCCATTGAATATTGCAATCAATCAATAAAAACTCATTTTATTTTTGCAAGTAAGCCTTTTCAAAAAGCACTTTTACATGGTCCAGTATTAATCCTACCACTATGGGCCAGTGCTGAGAAGAAGCAGCACAAGAAATTCTGTCACATGTCAGCCTCTTTTTCAATAACCTTGTCAGAATGAGGGCTATCGTTTTAGCGCTCACCAGTTAGCGCCACTGTAGAGTAAGGTCCTGTCACTTGCTAGTAGCGAAGACAGTGGCACCAACTGGTGAGCACAAAAGTGGTAGGAGGCCTATCGCATTTGCTCTCAAGATGGCGCCACTGTAGAGTAAGGTCCTGTCAATCGCCAGGGGTGCCAACTGTTAAGTATAAAAACGATAGCCCTCATTATGATCATCATATTGCTTCCAGGTTCGAGCTGCGACTTCGCGGAGTGCGAGCACCAAAGCGGACTGTGCTCCAACGGCTGCAAGCAGACGCCGGGCGGCCCGCTGTGCCTGTGCCCCGCCGGCGAGGAGCTGGGCGCCGACGGGCTCGCCTGCCGCGACATCGACGAGTGCGACCCTCCCGGGCTCTGCTCCCAGGTCTGCACCAACACCAAGCGCTCCTACGCCTGCTCCTGCACGCCCGGCTACCGCCTGGCCGCCGACAACCACACCTGCAAGGCCGACAACCACTCCAGCGCCTTCCTCATCATCTCCAACCGCCACTCCATTCNATGTGACGTGAGGTGCCAAACTGCGGAAAATGGCGGAAGAAATACAAATTATCATGAATAATATTAACTACTTATTTACCTCTCAGTGTCTTGAGGCAACTTTAAAAAATACATTCTGTGTTTTTATTATTATTTAGGCAGTTAAATACTGCACAGTATTTAGTACACCATTTTCTTTATTTTCTTCCATCATACACAAGAATACGCGTGCGTAAGTCAACGTTCGCTCGTATGTGAGGCCTTGTCGAATAGTATCCTGTAGGTGGGCCATCGTGCGTGTTTTGTTTTCGATGTAAACTCGCGGAGATGAACAGGCCTGCCACCACACACAACACTCTTAGTATTCGTATTCGTACTTGATATGATAATGTAACTCATTATAGGCTGTTATCTCGCACCGGAGGGAAGACGATGTTTCAAGTTCGAAACCCTTCTATTTTCTTTTAATCAATTTCATAATTTAACGTAAATCAATTCTTCTCCTTNCTCCATCCTCGTGGCCGACCTCAACGAGCAGGGCCTCGAGCGCGTGCCCATCAACGTCGAGAACGTCGTCGCCACCGCCTCCAATATGCACACCGGCACCATTTTCTGGTCCGACATGAAGCTGAAGAAGATCTCGCGGTTGGACCGCGGGAGCGAACCTCAGGTGATCATTTCGACAGGATTGGATCTAGTGGAGGGGCTCGCCTACGACTGGGTCGCCGGAAATATTTACTGGCTCGACAGCAAACTGAACACGATCGAAGTGGCCAAGGAGGACGGGAGCTCCCGGACCGTTCTGCTGAGCGGGAACATCACTCAGCCGCGAGGGATGTGCCTGGACCCCGCGCCGAATGCGCGCTGGCTGTTCTGGACCGACTGGGGCGAGAATCCTCGCATCGAGCGCGTCGGCATGGACGGCACGCAGCGCTCGGCCATCATCACGACCAAGATCTACTGGCCTAACGGTCTCACCCTTGACACGGCGACGCAGAGAGTGTACTTCGCCGACTCCAAATTGGACTTCATCGACTTCTGCTACTACAATGGAACGGGAAGACAGCAAGTTTTGGCCGGAAGCCACTACTTATTGCACCCGCATTCGCTGACGCTTTTCGAGGACACGCTGTACTGGACGGATCGTCAGCTGAACAGGGTGCTATCGGCGCATAAGTTCAAAGGATCGAACCAGACGGTCGTGTCTCATTTGATATCCCAACCTTTATCGATTCACGTTCACCATCCTTCGCTGCAGCCGCAGTACGACTCGCCTTGCAAGAAGAATCCCTGCCAACATCTGTGTCTGTTAAGTCCGAACGCGAGCGTAGAATACACTTGTATGTGCAAGCCTGGGTACAAACTGCACGCCGAGGGAAAATGTGTTGAAGGTAAAGTTAAATAAATTCAGTATTTGTCACTTCTTGTGCTTTCTTCCCTGATGAGATTTTAATGAGTTATATTATTTTGCAGAGGAATCGTCATATCTGATGATCCTGAAGGGGTCGCAGATAATCGACCTGTCATCGGATGGTTCTGGAAGAGCCGGACAGTTAGCTTCAGTTGTAGGAATCCAAGGTAATTCGGACTTTATAAAGGCTGGTAGAATTCTATTCTAAATCAAGCTCAAAATCTCCTGTATCTCTTTTTTCTTGCTAATGAAAACTTTATTTTCCAGGTGGAGTTCAACTGGACTACGACCGACAAGGCCACACGCTGTACTGGCTGCAGTCCATATCGGGCGACAGCGAGGACGACGAGAACTGCACAATCTACAGTATGCCCTACGGCGGAGGGAATAAGGTCGAGTTCCTCGGAGCAGACACCGGCATCGTGGGCGCGCCGTCGGCCATCGCCTTCGACTGGATCGGCCGCAACCTGTTCATGGCGAACCGCGCGGCCAGCAACATCGAGATGGTGAAGGTCGACGGGAAAGTCAAGTACCGCACCATCGTCATGGCCAACGACGGCAGCAAGCTGTCCGTCGGCAAACCCAGAGCGATCGTCCTGAACCCTAACGACGGGTGAGCATTTCTGACATTATGGACACTCTTTTTAAACTTTCGCGTTCCATTTCAACTAAAATAGTAAGACACGGTCTTAACGCGACGCTTATTAATGAGTTACATTATGTAGTCACGGCTTGCGTTTCGACTGCGATGCTGCAGCCGTGGTCACAAGCAGACTGGCGGCTCGCGGCGTCGTCCGTTCGGGCGGGCTTGAAAAATTTCAACTACCCTCATATTGTCATTTGTCACACTACCACTAGTGATGTTACCACGACACACAACACTCTCAGTATCCGTATTCGTACTTGAATGATAATGTAACTCATTAATAAACGTCACTCATTTATCACTTTTGTCATCTGTTACACACAGCTGTTATCTCGCACCGAAGGGAAGACGATGTTTCAAGTTCGAAACCCTCCTATTTTCTTTTAATCAATTGCGTTAGATAACGTGTGTGATAATTGCATCGCCATCGGCAAGGACCAACCTCGGGTGGCATGCTCCTCTCGCCAGATATTGCGCTTAGTAAAATTAGACCATGGACCTAGATATTTTCCATGACTCGTTTTCCAAATTCAAACGGAAACTGGCCGATCTGTTGTAAAGAGACTGAAGTAGTTTTAGTTTTGTTTTCATTTATTATTAACCGTCAATGTTGTGTACGCCTTTAATATGTATGAGAAAGAAATGTGAACATTCTATATTTTTAATAGTGCAAGTATACATGTACTGTTGATGTACCTTTCTAAATAAATAAATAACGTGAATCCATTCTGTTTCTNTTCTCCTTCAGGAAGATGTTCTGGTCGGACGAGGGCGGCTACGGCGTGCCAGCCAAGATAGGGCGCGCCAACATGGACGGCTCCGACCCCGTGATCCTCGTCAGCGACGTGGAGCGGCCCGCGGCGCTGGCGCTGGACGTGGAGCGGCGCCTGCTGTACTTCAGCACCGCCTTCCCGCCCGGCGTGGCCTCCGTCGACACCGACGGCAACGACCGCAAGGACATCCTCAGCGAGGCCAGCGGCATCGCCTACCCCAAGGTCATCGCCGTGCTCGAGTCGCGTCTCTACGTGCTCGACCCGCGCCACGAGAAGATCATCAAGGCCGACCTGCCCAACGGCGACAACATCAAGACGATCATCGACAACGAGAGCGACTTAAAATCGATGACCGTCTTCCAGAAGAGGAAGGCGGTGCACCACCCCTGCATCCAGAACAACGGCGGCTGCGAGCAGATTTGCATCCCGGCCGACGGAGGATCGCGCGTGTGCGGCTGCTCCGTCGGGTACCGCAAGGAGAACGAGGTCAACTGCGTGCCCTACAAGACCTTCGCTGTCGTGTCGCAGCTCGACCTCATCAAGGGCTACAGCCTGGACTCCAGCGCCGAGGCCATGGTGCCGGTGACCGGCGCCGGCCACCACATCCTGCACGTGGACGTGCACTTCGCCGAGAACTACATCTACTGGGTGGAGTTCAACCGCGGCCAGTGGAACGGCATCTTCCGCGTGCGGCCCAACGGCACCGAGCTCCAGCACGTGGTCAAGGACGGCATCGGCAGCAACGGCATCCGCGGGCTGGCGGTGGACTGGGTCGCCGGCAACCTGTACTTCACCAACGTGTTCCCGCACGAGAACTACGTCGAGATGTGCTGGCTGGACGGCTCCAACCGCAAGGTGCTGGTGAAGACGACCATGGACGCGCCGCGCGAGCTGGCCGTCAACCCGCTGAAGCGCCTGCTGTACTGGATCGACTACGGCCAGTACCCGCGCATCGGCAAGGCCTACCTGGACGGCTCCAACTGGCAGACGCTCGTGAGCTCGGGCATATCCAACCCGAGGGACTTGACCGTCGACATGCTGACCCACGACGTGTACTGGGTGGACTCCAAGCTCGATCAGATCCAGAAGATATCTTACAGCGGCGGGAGCAGACAGCTGATCAGAAGCAACCTGCCGAACCCGATGGGAATCGCCGTTCACACCGGAAGCGTCTACTGGGTCGATAGAAATCTGCAGACGATTTACAAATCCTCCAAGCTGCCCGGCAACACGTCCATGCCCGACAAGGTCAGATCGAACTTGCCGAAACTGCGCGATATAGTAATTTTCGACGTGAACAACCAGCCGACCGATGAGAATAACCCTTGTCGCAAGTTCGGAAACGGAGGCTGCGACCAACTGTGCTTCAGCTACCCTCCCGACGCCGGCAAGGGCGCCACACACCGTTGCGACTGCGCCACCGGACAGCTGGCGGCGAACGGAAAGAAATGCGACGTAGTCGACGAGTACCTCGTGTTCACGACCAGAACCGAAATCCGCGCCATCAACTTGGACCCCAAATCGACGAACGTTCCGTTCAAACCGATCGGCAACCTCACCAACGTCGTGGGCGTCGAGTTCGATTACACGGACAACAAGTTGTTCTTCACCCAAATCAGGCCGTGGGCCAGGATCGCCTGGATGTCCGCCAACAACCCCGATTCTGCGGGAATACAGAACATCATCAACAAAGGAATCAACCCCGAAGGCATCTCGTACGACTGGACTCAGAAGAAGATCTACTGGACCGACAGCTCGAATAATTCGATATACGCGATGAACCTCGACGGATCCGAGCTGGTGATGATAGCCAGGGTGGAGAGACCGAGAGCCATCGTCGTGGATCCCTGCAACGGAACCCTCTACTACACCGACTGGGGCAGGTTCGGAACCTCCGGCAAAATCTACAGGACCACCATGGCCGGCTCGCTCAAGAGAGCGATAATCGACAAGGACCTGTCTCAGCCGAGCGGGCTCACAATCGACTTCGACGACTACATGCTGTACTGGACGGACGCGGTGCGAGAGAAGATCGAGCGGTCCAAACTGGACGGCTCCGAGAGGGAGGTCCTCGTCACGGCGACCATCTACCCGTTCGCGATCACCGTCTTCGGGAACTACATCTACTGGACCGACCTCCAGCTGCGCGGCGTGTACCGCGCCGAGAAACACACCGGCGCCAACATGGTGGAGATGGTCAAGAGGCTCGACGACTCCCCGCGGGACATCCACGCGTACAGCCCCGGCCGCCAGCGCTGCCAGGCCAACCCCTGCAAGCTGGCCAACGGCGGCTGCGCGCACTCCTGCCACCCCGCGCCCAACGGCACCGTCGAGTGCCGCTGCGACGACGGCGCCAAGCTCGTCAACGAGGGCCGCATGTGCGTCGCGCGCAACGTCACCTGCGACCCGTCCAAGTTCTTCTGCGCCAACGGCAAGTGCATCAGCCGCATGTGGTCCTGCGACGGCGACGACGACTGCGGCGACGGCTCCGACGAGGACGCCAACTACTGCGCCTACCACTCCTGCTCGCCCAACGAGTTCCGCTGCAACAACGGCCGCTGCATCTTCAAGTCGTGGAAGTGCGACCACGAGAACGACTGCAAGGACGGCTCCGACGAGGAGGGCTGCGTCTACCCGCCCTGCGCCGACGGCGAGTTCACGTGTCTGAACTCCCGCTGCATCCCCATGGCGCAGGTCTGCAACGGCATCAACGACTGCAAGGACAACGTCACCTCGGACGAGACGCACGAGCGCTGCCCGCGCAACACCACGTGCCCCGCCAACCACCTCAAGTGCGAGAAGACCAACATCTGCGTGGAGCCCTACTGGCTGTGCGACGGCGACAACGACTGCGGCGACAACTCCGACGAGGACCCGCTGCACTGCGCGCAGCGCACGTGTCCGCAGAACAGCTTCCGCTGCCCCAACCACCGCTGCGTCCCGGCCACGTGGTACTGCGACGGCGACGACGACTGCGGCGACGGCGCCGACGAGCCGCCCGAGTACTGCCGCTCCGAGGGCCGCACGTGCTTCGGCGACCTGTTCACGTGCGACAACGGCAACTGCATCCCGCGCATCTACATCTGCGACGGCGACAACGACTGCCTCGACGGCAGCGACGAGGACGAGCGCCACCAGTGCGACGAGCGCAAGTGCGACGCCGACACCGAGTACACGTGCGAGGAGAACAAGTTCTGGGGCCGCGCGCAGTGCATCCCGCGCAAGTGGCTGTGCGACGGCGACCCCGACTGCGTCGACGGCGCCGACGAGAACGCCACGCTGCATCACTGCGCCGCGCCCGCGCCCTGCGCCGCCGACCAGTTCCAGTGCACCAACGGCCGCTGCATCAACGAGGGCTGGCTGTGCGACCACGACAACGACTGCGGCGACGGCTCCGACGAGGGCAAGCGCTGCAACGCGCTCTACAAGCGGTGCTCCGACCAGGAGTTCAAGTGCCAGAACTTCAAGTGCATCCGCAACCACTTCCGCTGCGACGGCGAGGACGACTGCGGCGACCACTCCGACGAGGTCGGCTGCGTCAAGGAGAACAAGACCTGCCCGGCCGACCAGTTCAAGTGCAACAACGACCAGTGCATCGACAACAGGCTCGTTTGTAATAAGGTGGCCGACTGCACGGACGAATCGGACGAGCCCGCTCATTGTAACGTCGACGAGTGCGCCAAGCTCGAGATAAACCAGTGCGGCCACAAGTGTATCGACACTTTAACCGGGTACTACTGCGACTGTAACCAGGGCTACAAGCTGATGCCGGATGGAAAGGCTTGCGCGGACATAGACGAGTGTCTGGAGACTCCGGGCGTCTGCTCCCAGTACTGCTCCAACACGCCCGGCTCCTACTACTGCAAATGTAACGACCAATACTACGAGCGCGAGGCCGATGAGAGGACGTGCAAACGTAAGGACAACACGACCGCTTGGGTCATCTTTACCAACAAATACTACGTCAGGAACATGTCCACCGACGCAACGTTGTACAATCTCGTTCATCAAGACCTCATGAATGTCGTGGCGATCGATTTTGATATCAAAGACAAGATGATGTACTTCGCTGATGTCTCCGCGAAGACTATCTACCGATCGGACTACACGGACCCCACCCCGACAAGAGAAGTTGTCATCAGACACGACTCGCACGGTCTGGAAGGTATTGCCATCGATTGGATCGGCAGAAAACTGTACTGGCTGGACAGACACTCCAAGAACTTGGATGTATCAGAGCTTGATGGTACAAGAAGAAAGACGCTAAAGACTGGAATCGCCGATCCTAGGGCCATTGTCGTACATCCGGGCACCGGGTACTTGTACTACACATCTTGGCATCTCCAGGCCTACATTGGAAAGATGGGTATGGACGGCTCGAACTTCAGCATCATTCTGAACTGGGAACAGGACATCGCCTGGCCGAACGCTTTGACAATCGACTACTTCACCGACAGGATCTACTGGGCTGACGCTCATCTGGACTACATCGGATCGGCCGATCTGGAAGGCAGACACAGACACGTCGTCCTGTCAGGATCTAAGGTTCCTCACGTATTTGCGCTCAGTCTGTTCGACGACGAAATTTACTGGACCGATTGGAACCTGAAAGCTATAAGCAAGGCCAACAAACACTCGGGCGAAAACTTGAAGATTCTGAGAAACACCACGCACAGGCCTTACGACATCCACGTGGTTCACCCGTTGCGGCAACTCCCGTACCCGAACCCTTGCGGAGACAACAACGGCGGATGTTCACATCTCTGCCTCATCGCACCGCCTCACGAATCCAGCTACCTGAACATCGAGGGTTACGGAGAGGAAGGCGCCACCACTTACAAGTGCGCTTGCCCGAACCAATTCTACTTAGCCCGAGATATGAAGACCTGCATAGCCAACTGTACCGACGGTCAACACAGATGTAACGGGCGGGACGAGAAATGTGTGCCGTGGTTCTGGAAGTGCGACGGCGAGAAGGACTGCATGGACGGGTCGGACGAGCCGGACACGTGTCCGGTCAGGCATTGTCGAGCCGGCTCCTTCCAGTGCAAGAACACCAACTGCACCCCGGCTGCGACCATCTGTGACGGCACCGACGACTGCGGCGACGGCTCCGACGAGGCTCAGTGCGCTCACGAGTGTCCGCTTCTCGAATTCAAATGCAGATCGAGCGGTCGTTGTATTCTGGATAGCTGGAAATGCGACGGAGACGCCGATTGTAAGGACCACAGCGACGAGGACCCGGCGATGTGCCACAACAGACCCTGCAACCCCGATTCGGAATTCTCCTGCAAGAACGGCAGGTGTATCCCCAAATTGTGGATGTGCGATTTCGACAACGACTGCGGCGACGATTCCGACGAACCCGCTTACATGTGCCGGCAAAAGAACTGCACCACCGGCTGGAGGAGATGTCCCGGCGCGTCCAACTACAGGTGCATTCCCAAATGGTTGTTCTGCGACGGCAAGGACGACTGCAGGGACGGCTCCGACGAGCTGCCCGAGAACTGCCCGACTTGCAATTCAGAGACCGACTTCACCTGCGAGAACATGCGGTGCATCCCGAAGCAGTGGCTGTGCGACTTCACCGACGACTGCGGCGACGGCAGCGACGAAGCCGAGACGGTCTGCCAGCACAAGTACAGGGAATGCTCGGAGTCCGAATTCAAGTGCGGCAACGGGAAATGTATATCGTCAAGATGGCGGTGCGACCACGAGGACGACTGCGGGGACAACTCGGACGAGATGGACTGCGGCGGCTTCAAGTGCAAGAACGGAACCTTCCAGTGCGCGTCGGGCCACTGCATCGCGGCCTACTTCCGCTGCGACGGCGACCGCGACTGCCGCGACCTGTCCGACGAGATCGGCTGCCCGCCCCGCTACCCTGGCGGTAGATATTGTCCGGAGAGCAGGTGAGCTATCATCATATACTCTTCTTAAAAAAAAATAAGATTCACGATGGACTTTAAATAATGGTTACGTCATTGACTGGGGAACAAAACCGCACCTGCACTCCATGTTTGAGCCATCCAAGAATCCCCACCTGAACAGATTGTCCTTACTACGGCCGACCTGTGCGTCCGAAGTCTATTTAAAAACTTCCAGGTAAGCCTGGAGAGGGTTTTGTTCCCAAGTCGATGAAGCGTAATAGGGATGATTCCTGTGTAAAAAAGCAAGATTTTTAATTAGTCCGTCAGTTAGCTTATCAAAAACTACTCGACATGTGTTTTTCACTTTTTAAAACTAATGAAAATGTAAAGAGACAAAGCGTGCCAAAGTTCTAAAGAAAAGGCCCGTGACGTCAGTATGTGCGTAAAAGTGCAGCACTTTGTGACGTCGCGCGGAACTTCAACGCACTATAACTTTGTAATTATTAGTAAGATTGACAATAAAAAATCTACGTGTCAAATTTTTTTTTATATTAAAGAAGAACGGTCACGCCCCATACAATAAAAACCCAGACCCGACAGAAACGGGACATACCTACCTCAGTTTTTTTGTCATGTCTTAATTAGTTAATTTATATATTTTTTATATTCGAAATCTATGTATAACACCTAAATATTACCCTTTGTTTTTGTTCAGGCGTTATACAAAAACTAATACAAAATGCCTATTTATCACCAAAATTGGTAAATGTATGTACCTAAATGTCTATTACAGCTGCTATGGAATGTATCTAGGTGACCAGGAGATACAGCCGGATTATACAGGGTGGAAACGAGAAGTTACAAAATTCAAAAATTCTATGTTACCAGCTTCCATAATCTGTAACCTATTATTTGGTACCATTTGAAAGAGCTCGTGAAGCACTTTCAGAATCATTAACTAGTTTTTCGATATCTTGTATAGTTTAGAAATAATCGAGTGAGATCACTTATCGTTTCCACCCTGTATAATCCGGCTGTATCTCCAGGTCACCTAGATACATTCCATAGCAGCTGTAAAAGACATTTAGGTACATACATTTACCAATTTTCGTGATAAATAGGCATTTTGTATTAGTTTTTGTATAACGCCTGAACAAAAACAAAGGGTAATATATTTTGGTGTTATACATAGATTTCGAATATAAAAAATATATAATTTAACTAATTAAGACATGACAAAAAAAAAGAGATATGTCTCGTTTCTGTCGGGCCTGGGTCACAGATGACCGTTCTTCTTTGACGGACTAAAAAAATTTTTTTAAGAAACGAGCCTATTATGATGTTGTCAAAATCAAAATCAAATCAATTTTTATTAGATGGAAGGTTGCTATACTAATAAATTGATGTTTGTTTTCCAGGTTCCAATGCGCGAACAACCTTTGCGTGTCGCAGCTGGACCTGTGCGACGGCAGCGACGACTGCGGCGACGGCTCGGACGAGGCGGCGGCCATCTGCACCAACTTCAACTGCGACACGCTGCGCCGCTTCCACTGCGACAACCACCGCTGCGTGCCCAGGTCAGTCCTAGCACAGCTGCACAGGTTCCAGAACCTACGTTACGTTAAATAATTAATGATAGACAAAGCAAATCGTGTCGTCGGTGGTGTGATGTCAAGTCCCTGACCTGTGGTCCATGATGTAGTCCAGACTTGTGTACACAATTTAGACAGTGGCCGTGCACAGGTTGCAATAGACGGAACTTTATTATTCTATCTTGAACAAGTTGCCAATGGAGACGGCCAAATCCCACCGCCACCCATGGCGTTCTCACGGCGTACGAACCGAATCTTGGGAGAGCGAGCCGGTACTTGCTCTGGGGTCCTTTCCCCTGGGGACGGCCAGTGGTTATGTGGGGCTGCGCTTGAAGGGCGGGGTCTACCTACTAAAACCTGACGCGAATTATTGTCCTAACTTGAATATTCGTTCCCGACTCTAATGCCCCCCTGTACTGTTTTATCTATATGTATAGCGCTTAAAAAACTGAGTTAGTGCCTGAGGTATGTGAGCGGCACGGGTGACATTGACATGACGTGCAAAGTACGTGTATACAAATTCGAAGGAGATCTGAAGTCTCGCTGACGTTTAACCGTCACAAAAGCACCTTCCCTTGCCGCCTCCGTACCTCAGTCACTGAGTCAAAGCGCTATAGTATTTATTGTCTATTACAAAAACTGCGATCCATCATTGACGAGCATACTCCCCTCCAGATACCAAGTATGCGACGGGGTGGACAACTGCGGCGACGGCTCGGACGAGAACAACATGACGCTGTGCGCGGCGCGCGCGCGGCCGTGCGACCCCTATGCGCAGTTCCAGTGCGCCAACAAGCGCTGCGTGGAGCGCGCACAGCTGTGCGACCTGCGCGACCACTGCGGCGACGGCTCCGACGAGCGCGGCTGCCACCAGGCGCACACCTGCACTTATCTTGACAAAGGTTTATGCGAGTCTTGTACTAAAGTTCCTTTCTACCTCTCCTCCTTTCTTACTCTCTTCCTCACCTCCACTCTTCCTCATATCCGCTCTTCCTCACCTCCTCTCTTCTTCTCCTCTCTTCTCCTCCTCCTCTCTTCCTCTTCTCTCCTCTCCTTCGTTTCTTTCCCTCCTCCTCTCTTCCCCTCCTTCTCTTATCCCCTCCACCTCTCTTCCCTTCCTCCTCTCTTCCCTTCCTCCTCTCCTCCCCTCCACCTCTCTTCCCCTCCATCTCTCTTCCCCTCCTCTCTTCCCCTCCTCCTCTCTTACCCTTCACCNATAAAAAATATACGTGTCCAATTTTTTTTTATATTAAAATTGACGGACTAAAAAAATTTTTTTACGAAAATAGCCTATTATGATATATGATGAAAATCAAATCAATTTCTATTAGATGGAGGATGTAGTAATAAATTGATGTTTGTTTTCCAGGTTCCAATGCGCGAACAACCTGTGCGTGTCGCAGCTGGACCTGTGTGACGGCAGCGACGACTGCGGCGACGGCTCGGACGAGGCGGCGGCCATCTGCACCAACTTCAACTGCGACACGCTGCGCCGCTTCCACTGCGACAACCACCGCTGCGTGCCCAGGTCAGTCCTAGCACAGGTTTTAGACCTGTGCACACAATTTAGATAGTGGTAGTCCACAAATCGGCGGAACTTTATTCTTTTACCCTGTGAACACCACACCCTTTTTTCCGTCGGGGGATATGATGATAGTTGTAATTTGCCAATGGTACGTACTAACCGAATTTCGGGAGAGCATGCGGGTACTTGCTCTGGGATCCTTTCCCCTGGTTGTGTGGGGCTCTCCACGCCTGAAAAGGGGGCCTGCAGTGCCTACCCACTAAAACCCGATGGTGTCCTCTTGAGTCCAATAAAACGGTGACGCGAGTTATTCTCCTAACTTGGATATTAATTCCCGACTCAAATGCCATCCCCCTTGTACTGTTTTATCTATGTATAACACTTAACTCAGTTAAATGAAGTATGGGACTGGCACGTGAGGGGTGACATTGACAAGACGTGCAAAGCATACAAATTCGAAGGAGATCTGAAGTCTCGCTGATGTTTAACCGTCACAAAAGCACCTTCCCGTGCCGCTTCCAAACTCAGCCTCTAGTATTATTATAATCTATTGCTAAAACTGTGATCCATAATCCATTATTGACGAGCATACTCCCCCTCCAGATACCAAGTATGCGACGGGGTGGACAACTGCGGCGACGGCTCGGACGAGAACAACATGACGCTGTGCGCGGCGCGCGCGCGGCCGTGCGACCCCTATGCGCAGTTCCAGTGCGCCAACAAGCGCTGCGTGGAGCGCGCACAGCTGTGCGACCTGCGCGACCACTGCGGCGACGGCTCCGACGAGCGCGGCTGCCACCAGGCGCACACCTGCACTTATCTTGACAAAGGTTTGTGCTTGGGTCTTGTACTGAACTTCCTCTCTTCCTCCAAATCCTCTCCTCACCTCTTCTCTTAGCCTCCTCTCTTCTTCTCCTCTCCTCCTAACCTCTTCTTCCTAACCTCCTCTCTTCCTCACCTCCTCTCTTCCTCACCTCCCCTCATCCTCACTTCCTCTCTTCCTAACCTCTTCTTCCTAACCTCCTCTCTTCCTCACCTTCTCTCTTCCTCACGTCCTCTCTTCCTCACCTCCTCGCTTCCTCACCTTCTCTCTTCCACACCTCCTCTCTTCCTCACTTCGTAGATGTTCGTGTGTCAGAGGTTTACCGTTTACACTCCTGAGATTCTCCAGAAGAAAATAGCAAGATTATCATTGTTAAAGCCTGGGGAGACTAAACTTTTACTTTATCCTGGTACTCTATAAGTTTGCGTAAACACTTCTGCAGTCAGAAATCAGCCAAGTGTCATTTGACCGCTGACTGTCTGACGCAAACGTTTATCTTAAGGCGCAAACTGACTGGAAGTAATAGCTCCCCTGAAGCGTTTATAACAGTCAAGTAACTTGCTTTTTCTCAGCACTGGCCCATTTATTGTCCTGAAGCAGTGGTAGGGTTAATACTGGGACGTGTAAAAGTGCTTTTTTAAAGCCTATTTGCAGAAATAAATGAGTTTTATGAGTTTTTACCCCTATCTCGTTCCAGGCGGCTGCGAGCACTTCTGCACGAACCTGACGGCCCCGGCCGGCGCCGGGCCCGGCACCGGCGGCGGGTACATCTGCACGTGCTTCCAGGGCTGGATCATATCGCCGGCGGATAGCAAGCGTTGCGTTGACGTCGACGAGTGCGCCGACGGCACGCACCACTGCTCGCAGCTCTGCACTAACCTGAATGGAAGTTACAGCTGCGATTGTAGAGAAGGCTTCAAGTTAGTATAGCGCTCTAATGATGATCATCACTTGACCCGATCCTTTACTAAAGCCTGGTCCGTGAGCACGTAGAATTTTGTCCAATGACCCCAAGCTACCCATCCTTATCGCTCGCGTGTAATTATGTTGCTGTCGCGTTCGCACACTCACTGCGGGCGCCCGTCGCACAGTTGCGACAGCAATATAATTACGCGCGAGCAATAAGGATGGGTAGCGGACCAGGCTTTAGTACTCGTATAGCTCTACTTGTATTGGTCCACCTTATGGAAAGAAACAAAATATCCTAAACGATAAAATTCGTCAGCTAAACATTACCGTACTAACATTAGACGTGCTCAGGGCAGGGCACCGACGAGATGGTCAGACGCGGTGAGGAAGACGGTGGGCGGAAACTTACATCGGGCGGTCCACATAGTTTGTGACCGCAGTCTGTGGAGGAACACTATATGTGGGCGCGATCATCATCAGTGTCAGACCGAGGAAGACGAGAGAAACATTACCCGCCATACTAAAATCTCTAACATACCTATTTAAGATTTTAACTTTCCTTTTCTTTAGAGTTCAAAAATAATTGAGCGGACATTTTGGGGCAGATTGAGGTGCTGATGACTATGTAATTTAGATTTTAGATCACGCGTATTGATACCTAAGCCGTGTGGTGACGGCAGAGTAGAATACATTTGTCACCAACCCCTACTCTTCCCGCGGGTGTCGTAAGAGGCGACTTAGGGACTACACATCAAACAGAGAATGGGCAGCAGCGCTCTCTGAAAAACATCAATCTTTTAAACTGCGATCTCCAACCCGCCTGCCTAGCGTGGAGATAATGGCAAAAACCCTCCACTATAGTGGAGGAGGCTCATAGTCCAGCAGTGGACTGTAAAGGGCTGTTGATGATGTATTGATACCTACTGACTGTGAGATGCTAATTATAATGTCATTTTACTTACAGATTGGCAGACAGCCTCTCGGGCGTTTGCAAAGCGACAGACGGCGAAGTGGTCCTCATGTTCGCCAACGGGCCCGAAATTCGCGCCTTCGTGCAGGACAAGAACGACGAGTTCGACGTCATCACCTCCGAGAAGAGGATAGAGGCCATCGACTACGACCCCAAGAGAGAGATGGTGTTCTGGGCTGACAGCTACGACAAGACCATCAAGAGGTCCTACATGGTCAACGCCTTGGAGGGACAGGTGAAGACAGGCTTCGCCCAGGACCTCAACATGAAAGGAAACTCCAAACCGACCGCGTTGGCCGTCGACTACATGGGCGATAACTTGTACTGGACTGAAACAGATAGAACTGGATCGAAACCGCGCGGACGCGTGATGGTCGCTAGAACAGACGGAAGGTACCGACGAGCGCTTGTGTCCGCTGGTATTGAGAGCCCCACGTCAATAGTCCTGGACCCGCAAATGGGAAGGATGTTCTGGGCCGACGCCGGATCCGCGCCGAAGATCGAAATCGCCTGGATGGACGGCTCGAAGCGGCGACCGATCGTGACCGAGAACATCCGACACCCGACCGGTTTATCGATCGACCAGGCGATGGATCACTCGATATACTGGGCCGACACGAAACTGAACACCATCGAGATGATGCGCCACGACGGCTCGCACCGTAAGATCATCCTGCAGGGAGACATCTTGAAGCACCCGTTGTCTTTGGACGTGTTCGAGTCGTCGCTGTACTGGGTGACCAGAGACACTGGAGACTTGGTGCGGCAGGACAAGTTCGGCAGAGGCGTGCCGTTTGTGATCTCGAAGGACCTGGATAATCCGTCGGCTGTGAAAGGTGAGTTTGCATTCTGATTTTAGTGATATTAATGTGACGATGAAGTTTTAAATGAGACACGTTTAAATAAATACCTGTTTGAAGACATCTAAGTACGGAAAAGCTTTGGAAACGAGTTCCAGTCCTTAGCAGTTAGCATGATAAATGTGCTAGCTTATTTTTATTTTATTTTATTTTCTTTATTTAACATTAAAATACATTAAAACAGTGTAAAATAGAACTAATAAGTAAATACCATTGCAATGGCTCCAAAGTGTAACGCCTGTGGGAGATTTTTGGCGGCGATCGAGGCGGTGACGTGCCCGAAATGCACCGCAACGAGTCACAGGGCCTGTGTCGGCATTCCCCCGTCGGCACAAGTGGATAGCTCGTGGCTGTGCCCTGAATGCAGAGCCAGGATGCCAAGGGCCAATGCAGACAGCACCCCTGTGCGACGAGCAGTGGGCATGCAGATGCACAGCATGGACGTTTCGGACCTGGAAGACCAGCTGAACACCACTGCACTCGACACGACTGTAGAACTGCAAACGGTGCAAGAACTCAGCCTAGATATCCGCACTTTTCGCGAAAACATGAAGAGAGCAAGCGAGGAGTGTAAAGTGTGGAAGGCAGAGATGGCAGAGCTTCGGTCGTTTATGACTTCTATCGGAGACAGGGTGACACAGCTTGAAGAGCGGATCGGCATCGTTGAGAGCCAGATGTCCTCTCAAAGAGCGGACGAAGGTGCCATTAAGTCCCTGGAGACTACCGTTTCGCAGCTGAAGAGGGACCTCAACGAGCGGGATCAAGAGCTGCTTCTCAACGATGTGGACATCGCCGGAATACCCGAAGAAGAAGGCGAAAGTGTCCAGCATCTTGTGCTGGCCTGCGCGGCAAAGCTGGGTGTCTCTCTGGATGAGAGGGACATTGTGGGCTGCCGGAGGGTGGGCTTGAACAGGCAACCAACAGAAGCTGAGCCACGTCCTCGCGCAATCACCGTGCGGCTGGCACGACGTTCCACCCGGGACCAAGTGCTGAAGGCAGCTCGGGTTCGGAGAAGCTTAACCACGGAAGGACTAGGTTTGCGTTCATCTCCGCGGCCTATGTATGTTAATGAGAGGCTAACAAGGGAAAACCGCCAGCTATTCAACCAGGCTCGGGAGTTAGCCAGGAAGACCGGCTGGCGGTTTGTCTGGACTCGTGAGGGCCGGGTCTACGCCCGCCAGGAGCACGGCGGGCCTGCAATGCGCATCAGGTGCGAAGAAGATGTAAGGAGGGTTTTTGGAGGGAAAACGGTTTGAGAAACCTAGCCTAAACATTTCTCTGTTGATCGAATTACTGTGTCCAATCGATGTTTATTTGTTTTATTGTTTACTGTCTAATTTGTTTTTGATTTGTGTGGTCGTTTCTATTCTTGAGACTGAGCAGTGTTATCTTTTCGCCTACACATACTTGGTACTGCATATTATTATTTTCATATTTATGATTTCATTTCGCCCGCAACATTTATTCCGCTTTATTTACACATTCACTATTAAATATATTAGACCTACACACTATTACAATTTACACATAGATCCGCACTCACAAAACCGGTTTGCTATTTTCTGTCACTCGCGTCGCAGTCGAACTACGCCTACTAACCGCAGTTCAACAGCTACAATACGTACGCATCGAATGATGATTAAAATACGACGTGTGCCGATCGGTATTCATTCATTTTACAATAATAATATTACCGGGCGCGAGTAAGCAACGTAAGCTTCAATTGGGTTTATTTAATGCTGGTTCTCTCGGTACACGTCACGATGAGTTCATAGTAGCTGTGGAAAAGCATCACGTCGACCTACTGGCAATAAACGAGACGTGGCTGCGTGAGGGACAGGACGCGCGCGCGCCGGCGGTGCCGGGATACAGACTGAGACACGTTCCGCGGCCGAGCTCCGTGCGCTCGCGCGGCGGAGGAGTAGGTTTTTACGTGCGCCGAGGAGTGAGCGCGCGGGTTCTGTCCCACCCTCCTTCGGAAAATGTCGAGCAGATGTGGTTATGCCTAACTATGAGTGGAAGGAAGCTAGTTATAGGGACCGCGTATAGACCACCGTGGCTTATTATTGATGTGTTTCTCGATGCAGTGGCTTTGTCATTGGAAACATTTGCATGGTGTGACAATGTTATATTATTAGGGGACTTTAATGTTAATATGCTTAGTTTACATGAAAATAATTATATTAAGTTAAGTAATTTTTTGACATGCAATGGATTGGTTCAATGTGTACAGAACCCAACACATTTTACATCGCACAGTGAAACTTTGATTGATTTGGTTTGTACTGATATGAAGGGATGTTGTGTCCTAGTAGATCATATGCATGACCTAGGTAATCACGCGTTTATAGTATGTAGTGTAAACGTCAGGAAATTCAAACCAAAACCAATAAAATTGAGACGCCGAGCTATTGGGGATATACATGAGGAGTTATTTAGAGAACAAATCGTAGGTTTAAATTGGGATCGCATATGTAATCTGTTTGATGTGAATGAAATGGTTCAGGTATTTAATTGGTTTGTGATAAATATGTTTGACATACATGCGCCGTTGAAAACTGTTAATGTGAGGTTTCATCAATATCCATGGCTTACATATAATATTAAATTGATGATGAAAAGGCGGGATGAGGCTTGGGAAAGGGCGCGTCTATCTGGACGCATCGAGCATAAAGAATATTATAGGGATCTTAAGCGCTGTGTGAGTCAGGCAATGGACAGGGAGAAACAGGTTTATTTTGATCAATACATCAATAACAAAACTAATGACCCCCGAGTCGTATGGTCCCATATAAAAAAACATGTACGTCTTAAAACAACACTTGACAATCCAGGCTCTCTCTGTAGCGATCCCAATCTTGTTAATAATCATTTTTTGAACGTGCCTGGTGATGATAGCGTTGACATATCCCAACTGACTTTTTTTGAATTTAACTGTATCGTTGCGAATCAATTTGACATACAACCTGTAAAGGAAATCGACATTCTAAAAGTATTGAAAAGTTTAAAATCAAATGCCGTAGGATTAGACAGTGTTTCTCTTGACATGATATTGCTGACTTTGCCGCAATCTCTATCAGCGATAACGGCTATAGTGAACTGTTCTATTACCACAGGTGTTTTCCCTAGGGACTGGCAGAAAGCGCTAATCAAGCCAATACCAAAAAAAACGCTGCCAACATCTTTGTCTGATTTACGCCCTGTCAGTATACTGCCGTGTTTATCTAAAGTTCTGGAGAGAGTTGTGTCGGATCAAGTGAAAAATTTCTTGGAACAAAATGATATACTTCCACATAAACAATCTGGCTTTCGTAAGGCTCATAGCACCGCAACGGCTCTGCTCCAGGTAGTCGATGATGTGCTGGCTGCTCAGGACAGGGGGGATGGCACTGTGTTGACCTTGTTGGACTTCTCGAGAGCTTTTGACTGCATAAGTGTCCCGCTGCTATTGGCCAAGCTGCATTACTATGGTTTCAGTCCACATGCGGTGAGATGGTTTTACAGTTATTTTGAGCACAGAACACAGTGTGTCGAGATTTCAGATGATGGGGGTACTACACGAGTATCGGACCAAGTGGCTGTTGGTCGGGGAGTCCCACAGGGTTCAATTTTGGGCCCACTTCTGTTCATCATCTACAGTGCGGACGTAACTAACCATATTAGGAATTGTAAATATCACATTTACGCTGATGACATTCAACTGTATATATCAAGTAAACCAAAAGATATTTGTGAAGCTGTTGTCAATCTAAATGAGGATCTTGATCGGATAGCTAGTTGGGCTAAGTGCAATTCTCTGGTATTAAATGGGAGTAAGTCCAAATATATGATATTGGGTTCTAAAGATCAGATAAGAAAGATCACAAACAGGGGAGTTAGAGTTTTGATTAAGGGGGAATCAATAGAAAGGGTTACAGAGGCGAAAAACTTGGGACTCCTTATGGATGAGGAAATGCGCTTTGAGAAACATATCAGTAGTACAATAGGGAACTGTTATTATAGACTTAAAGTGTTATACCAAATACGTAAATATCTGACCATTGAAAATCGTATTAGGTTGTGCGACTCTTTAGTTCTTTCTAAATTTAATTACATGGACGTGGTTTATGGACCTCGGCTGCTGTCGCGCACCAAACAAGCTATCCAACGTGTGCAAAATTCATGTGCTCGTTTTTGTTTCTCGATCCCGCCAAGAGCACACGNTATGCAGTTTAGGTTAGTGTCCGTGACTTCCACTCGGCATGGGGCCCACTGAAAACCAGCGTCGTGGCCTTCCCCACCGTGGGCCACGGCATATGCTGAGTGGAATCCCATTGCGATGGGCATCGCTGTTGCGACAGGATTGCACTGCTCACTGCTCAGTTCACTTTTTATTTCCTTGTAATATTTATGTGCCATTTCTGTCTTTTTCTCTGTCATGTATGTGATGTTCATGTCAATAAATTTTTCTTTCTTTCTTTCTTTAAACGCCACTTGTATATTTGGGAAAACGCGCTTTACTTTATCTACACTATAATATTATAAAGAGGAAAACTTTGTTTGTTTGGTTGTAATGAATAGGCTCAAAAACTACTGGACCGTTTTTAAAAATTCTTTCACCATTTGAAAGCTACATTACTTACGAGTAACATAGGCTAAATCTCTATAAAATGTAGGTATGAAATGAAACGCCTCCAATCTCCATCCAGGATGGAGGCCCCTGGAGAACAGGGGCCCCAAGCACGTGCTTGTAGTGCTTATACGTTAATCCGCCACTGACAGTACGGCTAGCACGAAAAACTTTCGAGTTCAAAATAATAGTTTGCGTACTCGAATCGCCATCAAAAGATTTAGTAACAAAACTACAACAGCGCCCTTGTGAACGTGTCGTTAAGTGAACTTTTAGTATGAGATTTGCACGAAACTTATTTTGAGAATCAAAATTGTCACGTTATCGTTTAATTCGAAGATTGAGTATCGAATTTTATCGAATACGCAAACGATTCGAAGACGAAAGTTGTTCATGCTAGATTTACAGGAATGCCCTGAAAATCGTGGATCAAACGAAACAGGGAGATAAAGGGGGTTATTACCGACAAAATACCCCTCTACAGTATGATGACCTCACATCGACAATACAAAAAATTAAGCTTTTTTTTTTAAATAATGCCTTATTTTGTAATCAATTGGCAAAATATATTTTTTTCCTTTTTCTTTGTTAAGGAGTTAGTATTAATATTGCGTATTATTTATTAGATCAGGCATTAGATGTACGACTTCTATTATAATAATTTTAATCGTGTATTGCATGAAGATAAAGTTATTTTTGTTGCCTGTAGCCCAGTGGCTGATTTACAGTTTTGCCGCCCGTAGGCTAGGGTGGGGTTGGATCTTTATTTAACTTTTATCTTCTGAAATCGAGTAAGCGTCATCTGAAATCTGCCGCCCCTAGGCCGCGGCCTATACGGCCTATTGACAGATCCAGGACTGCTGTAGCCTGAGAACTAAAACTGTTAGGTAGGTACTTACCTACTCAGGCTAACAGAGCTCAGGCTGTGAAAGCCCCTAAAACACCACGCGGCCACGCCTGCTACGTGCTACGTGGTATTAAAATACAATTTCTTTATTTTTTGAATGGTTTCGGCTATTGTTTTGTAAAAGGCTGCTTTTATTTTACTATCGCTTAAACCATACCTACCCAGGAAGCTTTACAATAATGTACTTACCTTTTTAAATAGAACAATGAAGCTTCCTTGGTTTTGTTTTCTGCGAAGGTAGGTAAGTAGGTACCTACCTATTGTTAGTTTAAAAATGTATTATTGCAAACTGAATAGGTAACTAGGTAATAATATTGGCTCGTGGTATTTTTAAAAGCACCACTTACTTTAATTATTGTGAGTCAGTAATCAGAGGCGATTTTTGGACTCCGATATTTGTAAAGAAATACTTTGCTGGCACCAATTAAGGGAGAGTCCGGTAATTTGGACCAGTTTTTTTCAATCCCATTTTACACGTAGTTTTCTTTTGTTTTTGCTAATGTTCATGGTATATAATTAAAGAGAAATTATTCAACTTACTATTTCATAGGTATTAATCAACATAATTGTTGTATATTTAGCACAAATCAACAAAATACGAGTTCAGAGCTTCGGTCCAATTTAGCCAACCGGTTCGATAATTTGTACCACAGGGTTACTAAATTAGATTTCAATAAATTTCAAGCCTATAAAAAAACTATGGCAAAATATTATACGATACATTCTTAACAAATTAGGTA